AGGGGAATCCAGGTGAAGCATATGACAAGAGAGCAGGGGCGGACTGACCATTTGGAAACTCGGGCACTGTCCGAGGGCCCGGGGTCAGTAGGGGGCCCCGTGAGATGTCCCTGGCACCTTTTTCATAGGCTTTTTGAGTTTGGGCAAGGACTCAGGGGCCCCATGATCCCCTATTGCCTGGGGGCCCCATGAGTTGTCAGTCCGCCCCTGCAAGAGAGGGTTATAAAATGTGGGAACTGGGGGAAAAGATCTCTATTTTTGTAAGCATAATGTTTCAAACAGAGTTAGGGAATTATGTAGGGGCCCCTTTCACCAAAAAGAAAGGTAAACATAAGTGGGAGATAAGTTATCCAATGGCTATATAGCGCAAGATGTATAGGCGAGAGGACAGAGGCAGTTCATGTAGGCAATCTGGTGCAGGATTGACGTGGCAGAAATTCCCCAGAAGATTCCCCATGCAGGACTCATTTGAGAAGCAAAGTCTATACCCTCAATAAGAGAACTAAGCAGGTGGGATAGGATCTATGTGGGGGTGCAAAAGGGGGTGTATTAATGGTAGAGAGATAGGAGGAATAGGTGACAACAGTGAATTAATCTACACTTATAGTTTGTGAAGGGCACTGAATATTCCATCTACTAGCCTGGTAAGGAGTGACATTTTATGTTAGAGTTCTAAATGAGGTCAACTTATTCCACCTTCTTGTTTTAACTTAATAAGCATGTTGTAGTAAAGTTGTGCTGGGGAGCCCAGTCCAGCCATAATGTAAAATATAGGAATACAACTTGAAAAAGAGTTTTGAGACCTGGCAACCATCTGGAAAACATATAAACGTCATGGGTGAACCTCCATTTTATATAAGGCGATCCTGCCAAATTAGGTATGGTTAAGTTTGGTCCAGCTCTTTAATTTATGATGGATATGGGTTAACAAGGGTTTAGAGTTATGGTCATAAAAGGTACCTGAATGAGGGCAGCAAAGGAGTCCTAAGTATTTGAGCGCCTTGTTTTGCACCCACAGAAAAATGCTCTTGGAGATCCACTTCTGGGCAAGGAGATGTTGAAGGTGTAATGTATGCAGTGCCAGAACCCTGCTCTTCTCACCAACTCGTGACAAAGGACCAGCCAATCTCACACTGCGCTGTCACTTGCATAACTATGCCATTCTCAGTTGCACCCTGAACAAAGATTTTCCAGCTCATGGGACCACAATCTATGTGCCAGCAGCCTGAGAGCGATTGTCACTGAGTTAGGATAATTGGCAATTAACAATTAACCCTTTAAACTGCCACCACCGCCTTTTTACCGAGAAGGAAGAAACTCACAAATCTTAGCAAGAACACTATGATTTTAGCATAAACATCTGCAACACACACTGTCACAGACAGCTATATTCAGAGGATTATTATCAGCAGCATTCTTCAAGAGACAGGGATTCTTTAGTTTGCATTAAAAGTTTTAGAGATAATTTTAACACTTTTCAGAATAGGGTTTATTAATGCAAAAAATGCAATTTGAATATTAACAGAAAAGGATGTTACAAAGACATAAAGAGAACAATAACGCAACAGAGAAATAAAAGGAGGTGAAAATGGAGAATACTTGCAAAGTCCTGGTTTTAGCAAAGTCCAATTGTCCAAGCAAAAATGTTGCCATGGCTCTCTTGGGTGTTCCTTGGCTGATGGTAAAATGAGAGCTCCCTTACCAGGTCCTGTCATCCCCTTTTCTGTGGTATCAAAGTGGTGTCACCAGAAACCATCTGACCAATAATCCACTTTAAGGGATGGGTGCTGGGAGGCCACCACGTTTATGACCAATTCCCAAATACAGTTTTGCACTAATTTAATAACTTACAAAATGTGCAAGTGGTATTCTAGAAACTGACAGAATATTATTCAGAATTTTATTTTTTATCCAGGGATACCGAACACAGTGTACCCTTGTCACCCAGGAGGGAGGAGACTGCTTTCTCCCCCTTTGTATGTGCTAGAGTAGTCATGTACTGTATGACCTTGAGTTATTCGGCATGATATTCCCCATTCAAATATATACCTAATATTAATGTGTTCTGTTCCTGTTGGATTGTGTGTGGAATTGTTAAGTTGTGGAATAGACATTTTATGGCATGCTCGGCATTCCTAGAGCTTTAATGGCCTTACAGGTAATGTGTGACAGGCTTGACTGAGTTATTATAGTTTTACAATAGGGCAGAGGGAAGAGTTTTTCGTGGTTGTGGAAACAGACATCCTGCCAAAACTAATTAGCTGTTTACAGGCCTGGACTCTGGCATGTGTTTTAGTTAGGATATGAGGCTCTTTTGAAGTTTCTTAAAACTTACAGCTACAAATTCCATAGTTTGCAAGAGGAGTGAGGGAGGATGGTAGCTGCTCATGAAAACAAAATGGTTGAGACCTTAACAAGATGGCTGTCGTGCACAACTTCTATGTCCCTATTGCGCACACTCATTACAGAAGGCCTCAGTTTTGTGGGTGTTAACCTTAAAATTGCCATGGATTGAAAAAAAGGAGAATTTTTACTGGACTGGGAAGTTGATCGATGGATTTGTAAAGCAACAAATTGTCTGTGTACAGGCTCAATTTGTACCACTGTATTTCTGGTAACCCACAGGAACCCCCTGGTTAGAAGGATTATTGATAATTGCTATAGCTAAATGCTCCATGGTGAGTATGTAAAAGTGTAGAAACAAGGTGCAGCCTTGAAGCATATATTCTGCAAAAGTACAAGGTCCGAAAGTATACCATTAATCCTGACCTGTGTAAGTGGGCCTCGTACAGGGTCAGAATTTTAGTCTGAAGCCATGAGCAGATGCCATTTTGGGTGTCCTGGCAAGAATGTTCCAGTTGATGCCATCAAATGCCTTCTCTGTGTTTTCTGTGAGGAAACACAGTGGTATTTGGGATATGTGGTGAGAGGCTTAGTGGTATTATTCCAAATTTCTCAGTGTTGGACAAAGCCCATCTGATCTAGATGGATCAGAGAGGTGATATAGGATTTAAGGTATTCCAGGATAATTTTAGCGTAAATTTTTAAATCAAGGTTGATTGACCAATCTGTAACTAGTACAGAGTGAAGGGACCTTTTTAGATATAAAAATTTGCTTACGGCATATGTTTTCAGAAAGGACAATCATCAGAGACTGAATTAACAGTATTTTCTGGGACGGGTAAAAGTGTGTCATATATTTGCTTATAGAAGAACATAAACCCATATGGGCCAGGGTTACAATTCTATCATCATTTCCAGAAAGGTGCCTTCATTCACATGTGATGTTAGAAAAAATAAAGAGTATAATTCCACTTTAAAGATTAAGTCATTTTGAATGTATATATAAAGTGTAAAACAAATGCTAAGCTATAGAAAAATGTTCTGCTAGGCTCCCTACACACAGTATACTGTATGGTCATGAGGTCTGTATTGAATAGAAGAATTACAGCTTTGAGTGGATGATCATGCAACAGAGATCTCTTGACCATATGTGTGGGCTTTTATTCATACTTTCAGAACTGGATAGAGCTCCAAGGGAAGGCAATTATCTTAACATGCTCACTACACACTAGGAAGTACATAAATTTTCACAAATTAGCCAAACAATATAAGCATTTGGTCACAAACATATGTTAAAAGCCTTCATTAGTCATGAAAAAGCTAAATCCACAAGGGTCAGATACTGTTGAGTGAACGAATAGCAATAGCAGTGTTATTAGGCATAGGACCAGCTTCAACTGTACAGGGAAATCCACAAGTACTTAAAATACAACAACAGGAACAAAACCCACTAACCATAATTCAATAAAAAAACAAATCAATTTATTCTAGTATTTAATAATATGCAGTATCTGTTGCACTCATAAGCTTTGATATAAGCCTATTAGCAGTCAAACATGCAGTTCTATTCTAAAATTCTAAAAGAATCTCACACACCATGGCTAATATCAGAGCTGAAGATGATCCTACTCATAAACCAGCTAAATACACCAAACTTGATGATGTCAACACTGCTGTCTGCACCAGTGCACTGTGAAAGAAGGGCAACCCTCAGGGGCCAAGAACAGGGCACTCTGCATGTGTTCAGTCCTTCAGATTGAGTGACACTGGACATCGATCAATCCAAGAAAACGAAGCCATCTTGTAGTAAAAAGAACGTTGCTGCACAGGACAACTCTAGATTGAAGGTGAGTATTGCAACATGGGAAACATATTTAACACTGCCTAGGAGACCTTTGTGAAAAATAAAACATAGCCTGGAGTTGGGCTTTGGATCTTATATTAAAATGCAAGGTTGGCTGATCGTTCAGCCATCACCCCTGAATGAAAAAAACACAAACTGAACGCAACAGAATAACACAACGTCAAAAGAAAGCAGTAATTTATAGAGAAAAAACACTGACAGGTGACATTATAGATTTAAGAAAACCTAATGCTAAATGGAAAATAACATTTGACCCTGTTAGTTCATATATTGAGGGTTTAATGTTACAGTTTTCTTCAATGCCTTTTTTTCAACAGCTGTACATAACTATTCATATGCCCTCCAGAGGATTTACCCCCCTTCTTGACCAGGCCATTATTGTGTTATGGCGCTGCTTTACTTTAACTGACAATTATGCGGTCATGAAACGCTGCACCCAAATGAAATTTATGTTCCTTTTTCCCCACAAATAGAGCTTTCTTTCAGTGGTATTTGATTGCCTGTGCATTTTTTATTTTTTGTGCTATAAAAAAAAAAAAGATCGACAATTTTGAGAAAAAAAAAATATTTTTGACCTTTTGCTATTAAACATGTCCAGTAAAAAAATTGAAAATCTAATTTCGTCATAAATTTAGGCCAAAATGTATTCTGCTACATGTGTTTGCTAAAAAAAATCCCAATACGTGTAAATTAATTGGTTTATGTGAAAGCTATAGCGTTTAAAAATGGCGGTATATATACTGGAATTTTTTGTTTTGTTTAATTTTTACTAGTAATGGCGTCGATCAGTGACTTATAGCGGGACTACGAGACTGCAGCTGGGCATTCTAACACTGGGGGGAATTGACTTGGTGTCACTGACATCCCCAGTGACACCAATACAGTGATCAGTGCTAATAAAAAGCATCAACACTGTACTAATGGCACTGGGCAGGAAGGGGTTAACATGTGGGGCAATCAAATGGTTAACTATGTGCTAAGTGTGTTTTACTATGGGGCTGTGTCTGTGTGCTTCACTGTAAGCACACTGCTTTCCATGGCTATGCTGTGCACAGCCATTCAAAGCAGTGTGCGCAAGCTGACAGGGAGGAGAACTGTATTGTTTACATACAGTTCTCCCCCCCCCATCAGAGATCCTCGGCAATCACCGGGCGCTGGCGAGCAATCACCGGCCAGGACCCGGTGATTGACAGCTGCTGTCACGAATGGCGGTGCAGGCAGGGTGCGCGCGCGCCTCAAGTGCACCCCCTACCCAGAAATGCAAAATCACGTATATATACGGGATTTTGTGTACCCATGCTGCCCTGTAGCAGTGTATCTGCTATAGGGCAGACGGGAAGCGGTTAATGTAGCTAAAAAGAATGTATGAAATTTTTGTATACATTTTCTTTTTGGTTTATTATGCACAGAACAAAAAACATTTTTTATGAGCATTTCATGTTTAAACTTTAAACCACTTGGAGCTTTAGCATTTACACTTATGCATTTTAGGTGCAGTGTGTTAAAAAGGCTGCTGTCTGCATCATTGATGCACATTCATGAAAACGCATGTTATATAGAGTACACTGATAACTAACCTAAAATTCATGAAAAAAGCACCTAAAATGCTGCAGAAATGTGACCCGGCCCTTGGGCTCATTTTCACATATGCCAGATCAATCCTAACTTTCTGCTGAAAAGCACCTCTTGCTCAAGTTCAGTTTGCACTCCTCCATCTTCCTTTACTCCGTCTGTTCTGTTTTCTATGAGACACACAGAGTTTGCACACAGAGGCCTAAACACTAAAATGAAAACACAATCAATGGTTTTTTCTAATTTGTTCCTTTTTGGTCTGCTAAATACAGGGCTTTTTTTCAGCTGGGAATTTGGAACCATCTCTGACTCAGGCCCTCTGCTAACTGCTCATACCTATCACTTGTAGGCACAGAAGTCCAGCTTGTATCCCAATGGCTTCCACAGATCTGATCTCCTGAGTGGCTCCCACTGAGTGCAGAATGGGAACAAGGGAGATGCAGGTGCCTGGAGTGCAGTGCAGTGCAGATGTCGACACCCCCACTGGATGATCTCTATGCAAGTGAGAGAGGTGGAGCCACCTACAGTGTGTGGGGAAGTACTATCGCCGACTGCGTGTTTCTGCTTAATACAGCAACAAAAGTAAGATATGTGGAAGATGATGGAGCTTTTAAATGGGGGAGGGGGGTATGGGGGGGGGGGGAGAATGGGGGCAGTGGAGAGGGGGTTGCATGCAGAGGTCAGAGCTGAAGAGGGGTGAAAGTGACATGTGGATGCAGAGGTAAGCAGATGTGGAAGAAGGCTGAACTCTGCACTCTACATGCAGGGCACCCCTGAACTCTGCACCATGTACATAGAGCACCCCCGAACAATAACATCTACTGACCAGATAACGTAGTGCCGGCAGCGGCGTGACATCACTGCACTGTAGCTCCTTCCTGTGTGCACACCCCCTATGAATACGTGCAATTGCACGAAACGCGTCAGTGAGGAGCTACAGTGCAGTGACATCACACCACCGACGGCACCACGTGGGTCCCTGGGGCCATCTTGGATCATCGTTATCTGGTCAGTAGCTGTTAATTTACTCTCATGCTTGCTGGATGCAATAAATCATCGCATATTAAGCAGTATCACGCTATTGGGCCTCCTTTGTTTCTGGGGCTCCTTGTGAGCTTCCTAATACTCACAAAGTCATGTTTAAGGAGGACAGAGCCATGCTTAATAACTGAGTGAGCAGAGAAAAGGAACAGACTAGACCACACTCCAGAAGGAATCCTGTATTAAACCTTAAGAGGGGTTATCTCTTACATGCGCATATTGATTGTGCATCTGGTGAGTGCACAGTCTTTTAGTAGTTTGGATATCACCACCTTTTGAATTTACCACAGAGATCTCTGTGATCCTCTCAGCACTTAACCCACTGGGATATTGTGGATTGGGCACTCACAATCATTACCGATTAGTCACGACGCAGTGACAGGAATAGCATATGTGTGGACTATATCTTTGCACTTTATTGTTATTTGCACCATGGTGTATTATGTACAGTTTTTATTAATAATTTGTGTACAACGAGACACTTGATTTTAAGCATTTTAGCACTTTATTTATGTTATATGTATTATTTATGATCTGCCAGCGCTGCACCCTCTGCTTAAACATTTCATACATGCTTTGGACTGCAGATAACTGTGAATGTACCCATTATCTGTTAAAGATGCATCATCCTGTCTTTTTGCTTGAGTTTGTATTGGTTTTAACAAACATCCAGTCTGTATAGCTATAAAATACTTCTGAGATGCCTATATTCTTTGTTGTTGACTCTGCATTTGTAACTACCATTTCAAGTATTGTAGCATTCCAATAACCCTTAATTTGTGTTTTGGCAGGTGGTGAAAGTTGAAAAGCAGATACTGGCCAATGTTGATAGGTTTTATGGAAACTTCAATGTTCAAGTCACCCACTTTTATTGACAAGAAGATTGAAGATTCTCTGCAGGTACCTTAGTGTCTAAAATAAAACCAAGAGCACACTACACACTCTGATCAAAATTTGCACTGACTGAACTCATAGGGGTCTGTTTATAAAAAATGCTATGCTAATTTTGGGTGTTTGCAGTCCAAATGATTAGAACAGTCTAGTGAGACAACCCTGCAACTTCATAGATACCATGCAGGGAGTTAGCGTTGTCAGTCTAGGACCAGAAGGGTCCAGCTGGCAAGATCAACAAGTGAAAACACATGGAAAAATACTAAAAACAAGGAAATGAATTATTATTATTATTATTATTATTATACAGGATTTATATAGCGCCAACAGTTTGCTCAGCACTTTACAATATAATGGGAGACAATACAGCAATAATACAGTTCAATACAAGAGGTGAGTAGGGTAGGCGATAGTATGATAAATTGGGGTAGAGAATTCCAGAGGATGGGGAAAGCTCTGGAGAAGTCCTGGAGATGAGCATGGGAGGAGGAGACAAGGGAGCTAGAGAGCGGGAGGTCGTGCAAGGAGCGGAGAGTAAGGTTTGGGTGATATTTGGAGGCAAGATCGGTGATGTAATTTGAGGCAGAGTTTATAAATGGCTATATATGTTATTGTTAATGTTTTTAATTTTATCCATTGGGCAATGGGAAGCCAGTGGAGGGATTGGCAGAGAGGGGTGGTTGATACAGAATGGGTAGTAAAGTGGATGAGTCTGGAAGCAGCATTCATGATAGACTGAAGAGGGGATAGCCTGCGATGAGGTAGGCCAACGAGGAGGGAGTTACAATAGTCAAGGCGAGAGATAACCAGGGAGTGAATAAGTTGCTTAGTGGTTTCCGAGGTTAGGAACGGGCGTATCTTGAAAATGTTTAGGACGTGAAGTCTACAAGATTTAGACAGCGATTGGATTTGGGTCTGAAAGGACAGATGGGAGTCTAGGATTACACCTAGTACCCTGGCATGAGGGGAGGTTCTGATGATTGTGGTATTGATCGTGATGGAGAAGTCAGGGGAGGGGGCACGGGCTGGAGGGAATACTAAGAGCTCAGTTTTGGAAAGATTGCGTTTGAGGAAGTTGAGTGACATCCATGCCGATATGTATTAGTAGGTTAGTAATGCGAGAGGAGACTGAAAGGGTGAGGTGAGGGGTAAAAAAGATAGATTTGTGTGTCATCAGCATAGAGATGGAACTTAAAGCTGTGGGAGTTTATCAAGTGACCAAGGGAGGAGGTGTAGAAGGAGAAGAGAAGGGGTCCGAGGATGGAACCTTGAGGGACCCCTACAGAAAGAGGAAGTGGAGAGGAGGAGGCCAAGTTATAGGTAATGCTGAAGGAGCTCTGCGATAGGTAGGAGGAGAACCAGGAGAGAGCAGAGTCTCGGAGGCCAAGAGAGTGGAGTTTTTTGAGGAGGATGGGATGGTCAACCGTATCAAAAGACGCAGAGAGGTCAAATAATGCAACCACCACATCTAAGGACTGGTAAGTTGCAATATATTACTGTTGTTCTTGGATTCATATATACTTTAAAGGCTTTCAGTGGTACATTTCACACCTCACAACCATCCGAGGTGTACATTGGTGCTGTGAGGCAGGATTTGAGTTCTTCTGCAACTGGAAATTTGTGGCAGATGGGTTTATTCATGTTGCAGTGTCTAAACAAGGACCTTAGAATTTACATCAGCAAGGAGACAGACCATTAGTATAGAGGAACCTCTAACAGATTTCCCGGAAAGTGTCAAGATCCTCTTTCATAGCCAACATCCCTCAGATACTCATGGTGGTGAAAAAATGTGGTAGCTGGCAGTTGTCTAAGTGAGGTTTTCAGGTCTTTCTTGTATCTTGTATCACTCAAGCCTGGATAATGGCAGCAGTTCCAGGCAGTACATAACCCATGTGAGAAGTGATTACATGGGGTCAAGGGCAGATGTGGACCTCTTGGCAATGGATGACCCACTTGTTGCCTAGCATGCAGTCAAGTTGCTGGGCTGCTAAATGGCCAGTGCTCTTTCAGAATGGGCATTTAGTGAAATGGGTGGATTGGGGACAGAAAAAAGAATCCACCTATTTTCAGACAGTTGACTGGCTCACCTTAAAAATGAACCAGTCCTGGACCAGTGAAGAATACCAAACCAATGCAGTTGATAATAACAGTTAACTGATTTCTTTGAATCCATACAGCATTACCATCTCCTACCGCTGCTGCTGGCCTGTCACCTTTACAATCTGCTATCATCTGTGCCCAGATAATGCACACTAAAGTATTTACATATTATGAATAAGCAGTAAAAGCACTTTAAAACAAGCTCTCATTTACTTCTGCATCTACTGGCATTGTAAGTAGACACTGAAATCTCAGCTTTTTTCTACAAGAGCAGATTATTCTAAACTGTTGATCCCCATATACACAGGTCCATCTAGGAGCAGTGCGTCCCTCCCAGAGTTTGTGTGTCTGGGAGGGACAGGCCCAACCCTGCTGCCTTGAGCTTGTAAAAAGGTAAGCCATGCTGCAGCTGGACAGGGCTGTACACTGCAATGAGTGCTACCCGTGTTTAGGGCCCTGTATGTTCAGTAACAAATGTATGGAATGCAGAAAACCTGTCACAGACAAGGATTATTCTGTTATTAACATCTCCTAACTCGTTAACTTCTAAAGCTGGCCATACACTGAATTTCAGCCAGTTCCTGATTCTCTGAAATATTACTTGTGCCATGTGCAACTCAGGAAAGACAGGGGGAGATTAAAGAACTCAATGCATGGCTGAAGAC